GGGCCTCGGGATGATTTCGGGTGGTTAACGGAGGAAATTTCTAAGTTTGTAGCAGCTGGTATTTTTGTTCCTTCTGGTATTTCCGCTTCTGCAGCTTGGGAACCGCAGAAGCGGCTCCCTCATCGCAGAAGCGAGTTTGGTCCCCCCCTCAGGAACCGCAGAAGCGGAGATCTGGCCTTTTAGAAGAAGCCGCAGAAGCGGCCAGTGTTTCGCATAGGCGGGACCGCAGAAGCGGTCCCTAGGCCGCAGAAGCGGTCCCTAAACCGCAGAAGCGGTATTCACTGTGCAGATATAGAAATTCGAGGGTTTTAATTTCATAAGTTGAAAAATCAATTGAAAGCTCGGTTTAAGGCGATTTTGAGTGGGTTTCGAAGAGAAGATCACCGGGAAACGTTTCTTTGGTCCCTTTTTGTTATATTTCATCATTATATAGTTAAATACATCATTGGAATTCGAATTTAGGATCAAAAATTGGATAATTTGGGGTAAAACTTCATTGCCTAAACTATTGAGTTTTGAGTGGGCATTTGACCTCCAAATTGGGAGATTTTTATATGGTTAGACTCGTGAGAGTACGAGGGTTCTAAAAATGTGAAAATTATTCGATTCCGAGACGTTGGCTTGAGGGGCGTTTTGGTCATCTTACCTATTTTTGCGCCCTAGCTTTAGATTTATTAGCGGAATCAGTTGTTTGCAATATTATTTACAATATGTAACTGAATTGAATAGATTTGGGCCATTTGGAGTCGGATACTCATGGCAAGAACATGGTTTCTAGTTGATATTGAGCCGGTTCGAGGTAGGTGGCTTGTCTAACCTTGTGCGGGGGACCTTTCCCCTTAGGATTGTTCTTGATATTTGAGTGCCTTGTGCGTGAGGTGACGAGCGCGTACTTGAGCCGATTGATGAAAATTCGGTTTTTACTTAAATTATTAAGATTTAGTTTCTTTCTTACTTGCCTTACTCTACTTGAATTTATAACTTGTGCTAGATTAGGAAAAGCATGTTTAGCTTACTTGACTGCCTAATTGCTTACTTTGTTTTGACTGTTCTACGTGAATTATGCTAGGCTAGTTCTATCTGTGTTTGTATTTCTTACTTCATTTCTTGGTATATTTTTGGCTGTGGTTGCGAATTTACATTGGGACTACGGATGTGGGATTTTGGTAATACCCTTCCCCCCCCCCCCCTTGTCTGTTTACTTTGGGACTGCGGGTTTGATTCCCGATAGACCCCCCTGCATATTTACCTTGGGACTGCGGGTTAGATTCCCGATAGATCCCCCTGCACATTTACTTTGGGACTGCGGGTTAGATTCCCGATAGATCCCCCTACACATTGATAGCTAGACTACGAGACGGTATCCTGGGAGATCCTCATTGTTACCATTGGTATTGAGCTGTACTTATTCTGTGTTTGCTCCGTTCTTTGTGTATTTGTTATTGCTTTGTTTAGTCTGTCTTATTCCACTGTTGTACTCACTGTTACTGCCTATTTTCATACTGTTGATTTATATTATATTGTTTAACCTCAGTAGGGCCCTGACCTTCCTCGTCACTACCCAACCGAGGTTAGGCTTGACACTTACTGAGTACCGCTGTGGTGTACTCATGCCCTTCCTGCGCATGTTTTTCATGTGCTGATCCAGGTACCTCTACTCAGGCGCACTATCCTTGAGGCGAGGAGATACGTGGAGAGTTCGAAGTATATCTGCCGCGTCCGCAGACCAGGAGTCTCTATTCTGTTCCAGCTTTAGTATCTAGTTTATCCCTTTTCCCTCAGTTGTTTAGATATTCTGGAGTTAGAGCAGCGTAATATGTTTCCGTTAGCCTGTGGTTCCCATGAGTTTCCGTGTTTTGGGATTGAGTTGTAGACTTCCGCATTTCTTTTGAGTTGTATAGGCCGAGCGGCCTTATATGCAGTTATTATTTTGATATGTTCAGTTCTAATTAATTATTCCGCAAGTTAGGTTGTTATTTCTGCATTGTTAGGCTTACCTAGTTATAGGGACTAGGTGCTATCACGACATATTCACGTAGGGCGAACTGGGGTCGTGACACCACACATCTTTAAACAGATCTTTTAATTGTAATAACTTCATTACACATTTGGCTGGAATTATGGAGAATTGTGACTTACGGAGGTGGGATACATACGTTATACATAGCGATCCTGGACTAATACAACAACTGACCTTTTGCATTTATTTGATTTGCCTTGATCCTGGACTAATACAACAACTGACCTTTTGCATTTATTTGATTTGCTTTGTTTTTCATTCTGTTTGTAGTTTCTTTACTTTTTATATTTTTCTTGATATTTTCTTTTCATTTCATGTTTATTTTATTCAAATAGTAGAAAATTTGGAATTAAAAAGGTTTCACTATCTAATGAGTCAAGTACCTATATAAATGTATGTAATATAAAATTAGGTTGAGAGAACCATGCAGACATACAAAAATTTAGATCGTGATTGAAAATATAAAAGATTATTTCCAAATTTATTGATGTCTTTTATAACCGCGCGAAACGCGAATAAATCTACTAGTATATTAATATATGATAAAAGGGTTAAAGTGTTTAACCAACAGAGTAACATAAGGAAAGCGNTATATTACTGAGCCACATATAAACCAACTCAATTCATCTGTTAATTGGTTAGAAAATATTGTAATGTATCATTATTGGTTAGAAAATATTGTAATACTTCATTTCACAAGTGAGATTTGTTAATTGAATAAATAACATATTTTATTGAAAAAGATTATATCATGTTTATAAACTCGAACTTTTAAAATTTATTTATTTTGAAATACTTTTTTTTTTTTTATCAAATGGAGTTTAAGAAAAGAAGAATTAATCCAAATAGCCATCCATCCTAGCAGTTAAATTAAAATAATCGGTGAATGTATAATATATACATAATTTATTTATTATACATGTATAATCTTTGTATATGACTATAAAAGTAAACAATTAATATGATCAACTATTTGTGTAAAGATCCCGAAGGAGCTAGGAAGAACAACAATTTACGTTTGACTAAATCATTTATGAAAAACTTCTATTAGTATTGAAAAAGCAATTTGTGTTTAGTTCCTGGTTTTGCTTTGAAAGAAAAATTATTTCTTTTCCACTGTAGAAGAATAATTTTTGCTACTAACCTCCCCCT